TTTTGAATCTTTATTTTTTAAATATCAATGTGTGAATATATAATATAAATTCAAAGTGGTGAAGTATAGCAAATAAAATGGCTGTTTTATATTAAACATTGTAAAGTAATGTTTCTCTTTCGGATTTAGTCATGATAGTTGTGAAATTTTGTTCCCGACATATCACAGTAATATAGTACAAATTTAGCAACAGTGAAATATAGATCTCTGAATAAAATGGTCATTTTACGTTACATTCCGAAAAGCAACGTCTTTCTTTTCGAATTTTATACGTTCATGAAATAAAAATAAATTTCCGATAGGATAAGTCAGCGTTAGTGGTTATTCTCGTTTTTCAGTGGTTTTTTCTCGATAATTCATATTCGAAATGTCAAGGTGACTATAAATTTCTTAAATTTACGAAAAAGTTCGAAAGAACAGTGATTTCTCCGCGAGACACTGGCAAGCTTCATCCAGTTCGAAGAGAGTGTTCAAGATCATACTTGCTCACATTTGCAGATTACGAGAACAATTAATTTCGAAGCCTTCGCTCCGTGAATTGTAGATTTTTCAAAGTCTGAAAGAACTTCGACGATAGGACAAAGATAGATCGCTTTCATTCTCTACTATTTAGTTCACGCGATTTTAAATCTTTGTATCTCACATGTTCTGATGATTAAAAACTGCTGTTTCGATACTCGAGTGACTTTGTTACAAATAGCTTTCTCAACAACGCCAAAGAAGTCCAAAAATTTGAAGATTTGCGAGCAACACTCGACAGCCAAGTATAAACAGGAAGGGAAACAATGAGACGGAATTAGGTCAGAGGGATGAAACGCTGTTCGTTGAGTGACACTTTTTGGCAACGTTGATTAAACTGCTTACGAGAGATATTGTGTAAACGATGACCTGTTTAAGCAAGGACTCGTGTAATTTAACTTGAATGAATTCGAGACTGTACCTTTGAAGATGACGTTCCTGTCACCTCGCCTGAACAGGGTCAAGCTCCTAAATCTTCAGTTGTATACTTAACACACCCTGTATATTTCAGTGTACAAGCTTAACAATATCCGACTAAATCTGGTAAATAAAAATCGATTTTATACGTTGTTACGTAGAGACTCTGGCAAAAAACATGCAATTCTTTTCTAGATTATTAATTTCAACTTAGCAAAAAGAGAACGGGAAATAAAAATAGAAGACATCGTAGATTATTTCTACACTTTTCAGATTATCGAATTTTCCGCATTAATTAACGGAGAAATACGTAAACATCTTTTACCACGGCTAGGAATAACGAAGATAATTTCGTCGATGCCGGGTTAATTAACGAGCAACAAAAAGTTTCTTCAATAAAATTTCGGAACCTCAGAATTTCAAAATAATTCTCAGTGTAAAGTCTTCCACGCGTACAATTTTATCAAATTTATCTCGATGCACTGCCATTCTAACCGCAGAATATAAGTAACAGTTGTCACAAGAATTTTCGTAGAAAAAAATCAGTAAAATTCAAACTTGTTTATCATTTACATTTGAAAACAATTGTCGTTCCGATCGCTCATGACCGAAGTGTAAAGTGTAAAGTATTGTTTCGAGTCCGACCGAAATAATCCTCCACAATCGCATTAAAGCATTTTCAAAACCGGAGAGTTAATCTCCGATGTAAATCTCGCGGAAGAAAGAAAGAAATTTCCGATAATCAGCAATCGAAAGAGTGTTTCGTCGAGAAAATAATCGAAATACATTGATATTTATATCAATAATTATTGTCATAAATAATTGAAATAAATTTCTCTTGTCGACAGTGACTATCAGCAACGAAACAATTTTTTTTAAAACTTGCAATCGTTATTGGCAATCGAAAACATTTTAGTCGAAAGAATAATCGCTACCCCATGATTTCGTTCATTTAATGTTACAATAGTTACGATCATTGGTTCTAATCAATCTCTCGAAGCGATTTGCCTTGAAAGGAGCAACTCTTAAGTTTTCTTAAAACTTTCGATCGTTATTGGCAATCGAAAACATTTTAGTCGATGGAATAATTATTATTGTTGTTGAATGACCAACCAGGCCTGACAATATTGGTTCAGTGCTGACATTGATTGTGAGTCATTAACAATTCTCCTAAAGTAACCTGCGAACATTTATTCATAAGACAAATTTCAGTAGTTGGTCATCTTCCTTTTCCCTTCTCGTCGATTTGCCATAAACGAAAATATATGTAAAGAATATAGAATTATACAATTATACGATTCAACGTTTATTTAAAAGCTGCAGATAGTTCGCATGAAATCCAATTGACTCCCATCTTCCGAATGTCATTTATAATCTTCAAGTAGCACCTTTATCTTTCCTTTTAGGGAGCTCGCAGTTCCAAGGATCCTTCGTGTCTATTTTATGTTTTCCCTTCAACGTGAATTTCATGTACGACCAATTTTCTTTACATGTTATTGTAAGAAGTAGCGCTCTCCTCATCAAGCAGATTCAAAGCACAATCCTTGACCACGGTGCAACGTAGAATAAAACTATAAGTGTCATTCTTTCACGTGGAATCTTCACTTTGTCCATTCGACGTTATGATATAACCACTATTCTAACGTTCGGGACGCGAGAAGAAGCAACATCCAGAGACTCGACAAGACGAATGAGCCGAAGGAACAACTTCCAAGCTTCTCTCGGGAGGAGTTCGCCGAATCAATTGACAAAAATATTCAGGTAATTTCGTGCTCGAATCTCGTTACGTCCGCCGGGAACGAAACGGCCGGAAGTCGACGGCGGTCTTTCAGGGTTTCCACTCTGCAGCCAGGGGCCAGTCTCTCCGCTGGGGATATGATCTGACAATGGAGAGTGGCCATCTCGACCAATAATTCAGCGAACGTCGTAGACAGTGCACGACGTAACGCCAGGGCTCGTTCCTCCTCGTCGTCGTCGTCGTCGTTGTCGTCGTCGT